TATAGATAAAACATGCTTCATTTAAGAACTACCATACCATATTGTATTTACTGATATTTGCGTCGCGCAAAAAGAGATTTTAAATTTATGATTCTGTTAATACATTTTTAACAGACTTCAAAAAGGAGGAGGTTATCAATTCGGATGTTTAAAAGCGCTAATTTCAGCAACTATTATTGTTCGATAGCCCATTTATCGAGGAAGGTTATATAAATTCACGCTGCTAAAAATAGGAGCCGAGCATCAATGAAAAACGTTTCAAAAACGCTGAATATTTACTCCTTTAAAGGGAGGGTCATAAAAATAAGGTATAATTATTATAAAAACTATAAAAATGGTCTAGAACTGGCCTATTGGTCTAGCAGTTGGATATCTATATAACAGGTATATATTTTCATTGATTATTTAGTATTTTATGACGTAACCTCTGTGCACCCACCTAAAAAGATTTCTAAACCACCCGAAGGTTGACTGGAAGAGAATGCCCTGAGCATTAAGTCCGCCGCTGTACAAAAGTGCATAAAGTTAAATAAATAAATGAAATATCCTGACTGTTGAGCCAGAGGTTTTGGATTCGATTCCACTCCAGGACAAATATTGTGTGTTGATCACGATCATTTGTTCTGTGTCTGGGTAAAATTTATTTATAATATGTATGTGTTTAGAAATGCAATTACTTGGTTGATGGGAATAGGTTTGGACCAAATTACGTAAGTGGATCTAAAGTTGTAGTCAGCCAAATGTGGGCAATAATGCCTGGTAAAGGTGACTACACACAACCCAAATCACACCGACCTATCAGTCTCACGTCTTTCCTACTAAAGGTTCTCGAGAGGCTAATAGATAGGGAAATCAGGGAAACTGCGTTAGTCAGTCACCCTCTACACCTCAATCAACACGCATACTCGATGGGTAAATCAACAGAATCTGCCCTACATCGAGTTGTTTCACATATAGAAGACAATCTAAATCACAAAAGGTCAACACTGGCCACCTTTATCGATATCGAGGGAGCCTTTGACAAGACCAACTTCACCAGCATTAGCCAAGCAAGGGTATAAACCCTTTAAGGGTAAAAGACATGCTAGTATGTATAATGTAGTATGTCTGTATGTATGTCCATCTGGTGACGGATTAAGAATACGGGGAGCCAACACCCCTATTAAACAAACAAACCCTATACCAACCCGTCTGGCCAGCGTGGTATAGTAGACCAAAACCTCCTTTCTGAGAAGAGGCCTATGTCCAGCAGTGGACTAGTAAAGGCGGTTGATGGTGATGATGAACACCCCTATTCATCCCGTGGTTGTCGCAAGAGCCGACTAAGGGACAAAACTACGCAGGACAACAGCACTGTCCAACCCGTCGTGGCATAGTAGGCCTAAACCTAATTTCTTATCAGAGGCCTATGTCTAAGCTCTAGTGGACTCTATCTGCTGATGAAAATATATAAAAAATGCGTATTATTTTTGTACCTTTTTAATTGGAATATAATATATTGTATTACTCAGTACATATAAGGTAGACCACAACCACAAGCGCATTGACCAGTAATGGTCACGGCACCAGCTGCTGGTAAAACTCCCCCGAAGTTCACAGCACCCATGATTGGGACTTGACCAGTAATGGCTGTAGAACCAGCCACTGGTAGCTCACCAGCGACAGCTACATTTCCTTCACCAGCACCACCGTAAGGTGCCAAACCAGGTGCAGGGTAAGCGATATCAGAGTATCCACCACGGTAACCGAAGGGAGCAGCAGGAGCCATAGCAGGCGCAGATGGAGCGAAAGGTGCCCAACCGTTATAAGCGGCAATACCAGCGGTTTCTACAGCGGCACGGCTGGTACACTGGCTGTATACATTCTGAAAATAAAATAAATTTATTGTAAGGCCAAGGAAATATATTTTTTATGGGGTGGGGGAAATTATTTTATACATATAAGAGGTTGATACGCCACCAACGTACAAAATGAGAGGGTCCTAATTAGGACCACAAAAAGGGCGCGCACGTACTAATTAATTCGAAAAAAATCGTAAAATGCCTTCTGTTGCTGTACTGATTGCCAATAGCTTTCTCTTTCACTGTTATGCTATTCCTATTTCCTTTCGCACTTGTAGCGTATGTTTTGTTCTAAAATGCATTAATAGATGTGATGTTACAGATGAACCATTTCGTGCGTATAGTACGAATATAACGTATCGTCCTTAAAATATTATTGGGTGGGAGGCAAACGAACAGATGAATCGCCTGATGGTGAGTATGGTAAGTTGTTTGAGTGCCCACCCCGGTTATCTTACTTACTCTGTGAAAACAACAAAAAATTGCTTAACAGCGACTTTCTCCGAGATCATGGTATCATTCCGGTGGAACCGACCTAAGTACTCCGAAGGATGACTCATCATCATCATCAACAGCCTATACTAGTCCACTGCTGGACATAGGCCTCTCCTTAGAAAGGAGGTTTTGGCCTACTATACCACGCTGGCCAGACGGGTTGGTATAGGGTTTGTTTCAAGTTTTCCTTCTCTTTGCAGTGCTGTTGTCCTGCTTAGTTTGCTCCCTTAGTCGGCTCTTACGACACCCACTAGATGAACAGGGGCGGTGACACTCCACCACACGGATAATACCATCAACATTATTTTTCTGTAATTTTACCAACTTTATCTGAGGTCGGTGCAAAGTGTAACATTGCAAGAGGTTAGGGCTGTTTTCTTTTATAGCTAACTTCATTCCTGAGGCCCAGAGCAGATAAAAGAAAAACTTATAGCTTAAGGTTAGGAATACCGCCGACTAAGGTGGTGACAATTTGTATTCTTAATCCGTCACCACACGGACTGGAGGATGACTCTCCCTCGTATATACTCTAAATATTAAGTAATCAACAATAACAAATTAAGTATTTTTATTTAGAAGGCAATCAACATAGGAAGCCTGTCTTAATCTTTTCTAGAACCCTTTATAGAAGGCCACCAATCAATTCTTAAGGGCTCTAGGGGGAAAATAACTCTAATATGTAGATGGACAGAAGGACAGTGAAGTGAACTTTCGTTATTAGGTTCTGATCGTTCGATTGGATACGGAACCATTTAAATGTTTTTGTTTAGTTGCGTTTAGTGGTGTTAAGTTCAGTGTTACAGCTTTTCGTTTAGTGATACTAATTGACATTTAGTACCATAATTCATCTATACATTTAAAATTACTTATTTTTTTAATATTTTTCGGACATCTGACACACAACGCCATTCAAACTAATCAAAGCTTATACTATGAGAGTTACATTGACTGATAGAATACTTTTATTCTTGTTTCACATACTTACTATTGGTATTGCACACAACTTCATTTAAGTGATTATTTCTTCTTTGTCTTAATAATAGTAATATTTCGGACATCTGACACACAATGCCATCTAGCTTCAAACTAAGCAAAGCTTGTACTATGAAAGCTAAATGACTGATAGAATAGTTATATACTTACTTTTCTTTTGTAAATACATACATATAATATATAGAAAACACCCAAACTCCGAAACAAATATTTGCAGATCATAAAAACATTTGGATCGACCCGGGATTCGAACCCGATACCTCAGTACAGCTGTCGCAAACGTTACCACTGCACCACCAAGGCAGTCAGTAAAGGCTTGTCCTGACTTACTGATTCATCAATGCAGAGCCTTAACCGCTGGGGGTCTAAACTTGAAATATTGGCTACTGACGCATTTTATGTTTATGTTAAAATAAGAGATGAACGGTTGTATGGAAGTTCGTTATTTTCAAAGTTAGAAACAGGAAATAGGAATTAATCAAGTAATCAATTAAATCAATCAATATCAATCAATCAATTATTATGAGCCTCACCTGTACCAAGAAACCTTGAACGCAGAGAAACAATACAGTAAAAATGTTCATGGTTGATATCGGAATTTTGTTGAAAATTAAAGGCGGAATGATAACATGGGCCTATATTTACAGTTTTATATAAAAGAAAAAAACCTTTCATCACCAATTACAAATGTATTTCAAAATTCCAAATGTCATAATATTGTTTCAAAGTTCAAAGGAAAATACTTGTCTTATCTCTTTTACTTCATATATTTTTAGTTACCTATATACTAACAGTTATAATTGATAATTGTGGGGATGATTTAGTATAAAACCTGCTATAATTCTACCAGATATCATTCTCGTATCATCACTTGCATAGACAACTGATTCCAATATTAACATGTCTGCCAAGACTATTCTGATTCTTTGCGCTCAGGCGCTTCTGGCTCAGGTGAGGATATCAATTGTTATGTTATCATTAAAGTTTGTACTTAAGTTATTTGGCTATTCTTCAGAAAAGGTATACTACTTACTGTACAAAATGTACTATGTTTTGTAACCATGAACACGTGTTTACAAAATACCATGCTTTTCGGTCGAGGATGTAAAATGTAAAGCCTAACAGATAGATAACTTTCCTTTTCGTTGCTTTTCACCGAGTGAGTGAGATTACCGGAGCCTCCCTTGATTGAATCTGGGGAGGGGAACTCATCATCATGAGCCTATCGCAGTCCACTGCTGGACATAGGTCTCTCCCATAGCACAGATCGTCACTTCACCTGGCCTGTGAGGGCGGGGAGGGGCACTTAAAGGGTGGTAAAGCACTTGAGACTTTTGAGTTGCAGGGGTCCACTGACGGCGGTAGTCACTTACCATCAGGTGACCCGTCTGCTCGTTTGTCCCCCTATGTCTTAAAAACAGATAGAGAGAGCTATTTTTATTCAGATCCTATATGTACGAGTATTATAGATTTTTATAAGTAGCGAATTCTATGTGTGTGTCCCGATCATTAAATTCAATATGTTAACAATTATTTCAATAGAGACAAAATACGCGTGTAGTAGTCTCGTTGATTCTCAAATTGAGGAATCAGTTACCCCTTCAGAAAACTCTAATTCATCACTGGTGAAGTGGTGCTACTGATGTAAAGTTACAGGATTAGGGTATCGGGATGTCTATTACTATGGTGGGTACAAACGAACTGAACAATTTGGTTTTAAATTGTATTTCTATCGTAAGAAACAGTTGAGTTATTGAAAATTGAAAAAAGAGCTGAGGTTCATTTACGGCTTGAGAATCTAAAAAAATCTTTGGCTTTTGACTTTGCAGTGTGTATTCAGTCAGTGCACCAGCCGTGCTGCGGTTGATGCTTCTGGAATTGCTGGACCTTTTGGCTGGGCTGGTCCTGGCTTAGCTGGTCCCGGCTTAGCTGGTCCTGCATATGGATCAGCTTTGGCACATGATGGACTTGCTGCACCTTTCGGATACGGCGGTCGTTGGATGGGCGAGGGAATGTACCCAGCCATGCTATCTGCCTTGGAATTCACTCCTACAAGTGGTGGCGCACTTCCCGTTTCTAGTGCTTCTCCAGTACCTCCCACTGGTATATCTATAGTCTCGGAGAACGCTTATGAAGGTGTACTTGAAGTAGTTGGTGAGCTGCCGTTCGTGGGTACTACTGTTGTGGACGGTGTATTGCCAACTTATGGTGCTGGTGCCATTAATCATGGTTGCGGAAACGGTTTCAATGCTATGGTGAGCTCATCAAATAAACTTTATCTCATAAATAATATCTCATTATAACTGTTTAAACTATTTAATTATTTTTCAGACTGCTCTGAGTGAAACATCGTCTCCTGCATCAGTGGCTACCCCATCTAGTTTTGGTGTTGATGCGTATGCTGTACCAGCTGCTGCCGCACCCGCCCTGGCTTACGGTACTCCTTGCGGTACAGGCTACGCATATGATGGTCTGGCATACGCTGCACCAATTGAAGGGCTTGAAATAACCGGTACTAGCGGTGGATCTCTTCCTGTGTCAAGCGCTTCAGCTGTTCCTCCAACTGGTATTATTGTCAGCTCTGAAACAGCGTTTGAAGGTCCACTAGCCATCACTGGTGAGCTGCCTTTCGTAGGTACTGTAGGCATGGATGGCGTCGTACCTACTGCTGGTACTGGTGCTGTCAATCATGCCTGCGGTAATGGCATCAACGCCATGGCCAGCGAGACTACGGCCTTCGGTCCCGGTCACGTTTCTGGCTTTTACGGTCCAGCTGCAGGAATAGGTCCAGCAGCTGCCATTGCTCCAGGTGTTGGTTGTGCCAATAGATGGGCCGGCAGAGGTTTTGGACGTGCTTTCTAAGCGTGCTAAGATTTTGAATAACTTTTTATAGATGTTTTATATTGAATAAAGGTTTTTATTATATATTTCTTTATTGTATTCATTGCTAACCTTTATAAACGAAAACTCCAAAGATAAATTTCTATTACAATTTTGTTCATTACAATTTCTGGCAAGTAATTTCGCACTGCATAAGTCTGACAAAGACCTAATTTAGTTACAAACATTTCTTTTTCCTAAAAACTCCATAGAAATAATAATCACTTCACACATCTCACACACGGCTGTCTGATCCTAAACTAGGCAGAGCCTGTACTATGATCACCAAACTGCTGATAAACATAATAATAATAATATCTTTATTCATTTTTTAAACATCTTACAATCTAGTGGCTGCGGTCTCCTTTTAAGTAATGAGAAGCCTGTGTTAGGAAATTCCATACTTATACATAATTCTAAATATACCTACTCGTATAGATATTATGGATAAATTACAGCCAGACCCTGAAGAAATGATCGTGCTCATCACACAATAAATTATTTGTCCTGGGTTTAGTCTGGAATCCGAGGACCACTAAAGCAAGAGGTCCGTCATAATCAAACCACTCTGCAAAAAAAACGATTGAAGGGGGAAGTGTTCTCCCCTGGGATAGGGCCTGATTAGGCATGGTGTCAATTCGGGGAGGACCTGAAATAACATGGTCCGAGTCCTCCCCAGAGTAGGACACCTAAGGCCGGCCGTCGGGGTGGTTTTTAGTGGAATCACCACATACTCCTGCCGCCTGAGTCCCCGAGGAGCAGGAGATCCGAAGGAATTTCCACCCCGCCAACAAAAAAAAGCCTTTAACAGACTGCATGAGTCATTTAAAGGAAATGACTCATGCAGTCTGTTATAGCCCTAATCTAATAAAACTTAGCATAAGATTACTCTTTTTATGGAGCTTATGTGAAGCCGTTCAATGCCCCCACCGTGTCTAAAATGGTAATTTTAGATTATAAACCATATATATTGACGACCGGATGGCGTAGTGGTTTGTGTAGCGGACTGCTATTCCAGAGGTCACGGGTTCGATTTCCTCTTAAGTCAAACATTTGTGTGCATGAACATTTATAATATGTATGTATTTACAAAAAAAAAATATATGTATGTATATGAGTTGTCTAGTAGCCAGAGTACAAGCTCTGCTTAGTTTGGGATTAGATAGCGTTGTGTAAATGTGTATTATTATATATTTTAATCTCGGAATCTACTAATTTAAATGTCAATGATTCCATTCGATAATTACACGCTTTATATTAGCTTCACTTGTATGTTTGTTTGTATGTTTGTAACCGACTCCTTTGGGCGTGATTTTGACTGACTTTAAACGGTCCGAATTCGTTAAAACTTTGTAGATATATCGAGGACCAATGACGCGACTTAAAAGCAATTTCTTGCAGTGTTTTTGTGTATATAATACAGAATATTTTTTTTTAATTGTTTGAGTTCGTCTCTTGTGTAGACCCTTTTTTTTTTTTTTTTTTTTTTTTTTTTTCCGTGCGGAAATCCCCTCGGATACCACCTATCGGTGGCATGTCGGACTCGAACCGACTAAAACCGCACGCCTTCGCCGGGTACTAATAGCCGGGGAACCAGGTATACCCTAGAAAGGAAGGCCCTGGTGCCCCGACATACCTCGGGTCATCTACAGACGAGTAGACGACCCCCGCCCCGTGTGGGAACCCCATGTTCCCTGTGCTCCCTGAAAGCGAGCGCGCTTCGCAACGCGCTCGCCGCCACCCCGGCCTGCTTCTGCTAGGGTGACAGATGGCCTCACCTGTCACCCCCAGGCCTGCGCTTATGGAGGACGGAGGTCGTTCTGCGACCTCCGGCGCCTGAGTCGCCTGCGCTGCCTGGCCCGTGCCCGGGCCTGGCGGGCCGGGAGAGTTCTAAACCTCTCCCGGTCCCGCTCCGCCGTCTCCTTCGCGAGCATAACTTGCTCGCAGAAGGAGACGGCAGAGTTCCACGCACTCTCGCTCCGCACGATAGCCGCAATCAGGCTATCGAGCGAGAGAACTCCCACTCCGATGGCCGCCACGAGGTCTCGCCTCTGCTCAACCCACGCCGGGCACTCTGCCAGCGTGTCCACGGTCTGGCCATCGCAGTGGTGGCACTCAGGCGTTGGCTCCTTGCGGATCAGACACAGGTGATCTCCGAAACATTCTTGTGTAGACCCTAAAGTCATAGATTAACACACACATAGCAACAATCTCTGTTTTGTCAAATATTTGGCAAAATAAATACATACGTATCAAAAATCTATTATATGTCTGTGCCGATCTACAACTGCCGGTTTCCAAGTGGTTGAGCCTTATGAGAAGTTAGTGTTGTTACTAAAGAAGTTACATAGTACAAGCTCTGCTTAGTTTAAAACTAGATGGGGTTGTGTGTCATATGTCCGAAAATTATTATCATTAAGTTGTGGACTCTGAAGGATGTTTGTTTTTTTTAATACCTGAATTGCAATAAATATAACCTCAAACATCTTACACATGGCCTCTGAGACCAAACTAAGCAGAACCTTTACAATGGTATCCAGACTGCTGATAAACGTACTTACATATTTCCAAATACATACATAACATAGTATGGATAAACTATACCCAGACACAGCACAAATGATTGTGCTCATGACAAAATAATTTGTCCTCGGTAGATATCGAATCCACTAGATCTAGTTTAGCAGTCTGGATCACTTACCACTGGACCAACAGGGCCATCTTTCTTCTCTTGTAGGTATATGATTTAAAAAAAAAAGAATGCATTCATCGTCAAGAAAAATTGTTTTAAATAATAACAGAATCATTTCTTTCATGGTCACAGTTTTTTAAAATGTAATAATTAGCAACCGAGCAGACATGTCACCGGACCGGATCGGGTCCGAGTGGAGGTCGTCCTCCCGGGCCCTCTCCGCCGCCTCCTTCCGCGAGATTACTACCTCGCAGAAGGTTGCGACCGCGGTAAAACAACTGTCGCTACCGGCCATGGAGCCTATACCAACCCATTTGTCTAGCGTGGTATAGTAGGAAAAAACCTCCTTTCTAAGGAGAGGCCTATGTCCAGCAGTAGACTAGTAAAGGCTGTTGATGAAATGTGCGGACGGGTCTTTACATACTCGTAGTAAATGACTGCGGCTTCCATTGACACTTACAACACAAGTCCTGCACTCCTTGCGGTACAGGCTACGCATATGATGCTCTTTCACATAGGCATCTCCTTAGAAAGGAGAAGTTTTACTATTAGAAAGAAATTCAGATAGAAATGTAAAAGGGTGTGCAGAGAGGCGAAATAAGTATTAAAAGTATAAAATAAAATTTTGTACATTTTACATTAAAAAATACCTCTTTATTAATAAAAATATTAGACTAGTCATATTGTAAGTTAATGTTTACAGAGCATAGGCACCACATCCCGCACGGTAGCCAAATCCGGGAGCAGCAAACGCAGCAGGAGCGATAGCAGCAGTCGCAGGGGCAATAGCAGCAGTAACCATTTCAGGAACAAAAGCAGTGGTCTCGCTAACCATAGCGTTGATGCCATTGCCACAGGCATGGTTGATGGCACCAGCACCAGCACTGGGCAATACACCTTCCATAGCCGCAGTACCTACAAAGGGTAGCTCACCAGCCACAGTCAAAGGACCTTCGAACACGTTCTCAGATACTACAGATATACCAGTAGGAGGGACAGCAGAAGCACTAGTGACGGGCAGACCTCCTCCGAAGGTTGGGGTAAAGTCCATGGCTGTACCCGTTACTGGGTAGATTCCATCGTAACCTAAACTTCTTCCAGCATAGTTGGTAAGTCCGTCATAAGCAAAAGGTGTAGCCAAACCTTCGTAAGCCAAAGCGGGAGCTCCCATTCCGTAAGGAATACCAAAATTGGTGGCAGTGGGGCTTATGATTCTTGGATCAGCTGCTACTGCAGCGCGGCTGGTGCACTGGCTAAATGCGTTCTGGAAAAACAAATTGTAAACTTAGTCATTCATCGTTAAGCCTTCTTTTCTGATAAATAATCTTTGGAAAGGAGATGTCTACTTTGATTTCGTCTATACTATTCAACTAGTTACGAATATACCTGTGTGATTATTGCCCTTATAGCAACAAAAGCAAAAAAAAAAAAAAAACTTTGGTTAAATTGTTATAAATTAAAAAAAATGAACTTCAAAATATTCGAATCTATTTAATTTTTGAGCACTGTTACAGAAATGATTAACCTTTGGTTTCTAGATCTTTCTTAATCTGGAGGTAGCTTTATAGGCACCGGAAAAAAACAGGTTCAAGAACATACCTGGATTGTAAGCGCCATAGCGCAAATAAGGATAGACTTAGCAGACATGTTACAAGTTCAGGTGCTGACTCGATAATGATATTTACCAGGCCTACTTCTAATTTTATACTTCTCCATTTCATGAATTTCTATTAATTCTAAATGATACGTCACATAAAATGCTTTAATAATTCTGATTAATTTATTATTAACCAATGTTCTATTTTATCAATGACTTATAGTAAACTATGTTTAGTAATAGGTTTATAATAGTAATATGTAATTGTTATCTTAGTGCATTTCTAATACCTGTTAAACTGAAAAACTGCTAGGCCCTTATTTCTTTGTGTAAAGATTAAGTTGTTTGTTCTTAAAATTTCGCACGATACTATTTGTTCCATACGGGTCACTCGATGGTAGAATGTGATCGTTTGCTCCCTTTTTTTTAGTGACGGGATGGAAAATCCCTTCGTATCCCCGTCTCCTTGGATATTCAGGAGCTAGGAGTATGTGATGCTTCCACTAAAAACTACCCGACCGTGGGAAGGACCCCCCCCAGATCGACGCCGCATCTTATTAGGCCCTATCGCTAGTCGTATTCTACTATCAATTTATATTGTAATCCATCAGTTAGAAAATACCACAGTTATGTAAAATTTTATGTTATAATTACAGAGTCGGTCAGAAATTAAATAATTATTACACATATTGTATTGATAAGAATTATGTCAATATTAAACCATTAGTCCATAATAGTTTTGTTGTTGCATAAGTTTCTGATATTACTGACACATTTAAAGAACTTAAATACCCGGATTGGTATAAAATCAGAAGTATTGCTTCTAAACATCATTATCGAATCGGTAATTGAATTGAGAGCATGTCTCCTAAAACTGTTTTCTTTCTTTGCGCTCTAGCGCTTACAATCCAGGTAAGATCGATTAATAATAATTAAAGATTAATGATTAACTACTAACAACTATATTGCAGGGATGATTGAGTGGTTTTTAGGTCTAGTATGAGTTTATTTTACATTAACTCGATCGTCACGAGCGTCGAGAGCGACTTGATGTGAAATAAACTCACACTAAGATGGGGGCCATTTATAACGGAGAAAATGTGTCCTACGTTTCGGTTGGAAATGCGTCATCCCGACCAATTTGACGGGCCTGTTGGTCTAGGTGTTAGTGACCCTGACTGCTAGGCCGAAGGTCGTGGGTTCGATTCCCACCCAAGACAAATATTTATGTGATGAGCACGATCGTTTGTTCTGTGTCTGGGTTTTATTTGTCTATAATATCTATGTATTTAGAAATATATAAGTATGTTTATCAGCAGTCTGGTTACCATAGTACAGGCTCTGCCTACTTTGGGATCAGACGGCCGTGTGTGTGATGTGTGAGGTTATAATTTTTTTTTGTACACCGAAAGTAGTCGGGTTTCAAGTTGATTACATGCTACAATTTATGGTTATTACATTTCAGTTAACTATATGATAGTGTCAGATGTTAACGCGATATAGCATAGTGAGAATATTGGAAGAATTAAGTTTACTGACTTTATTTACGATGCCTTGTTTTTCTTCGGCTTTGTGTATCTGTAGATTTCAATTCTAATGTAGGACCTAAGTAGTAATTACGTTTTTCTACTTTCGTTGCCGTTTTTTCAAAGACAACTCTCGCACTACGAATATAGCTTATAATATAACTTTACAAACATACATGAAACAAGAACAATAATTTGAGGTTCCTACAAAGTGGGGATCGAACTCACAACAGTTACACTACGCTATCCGTGCAATCAAAGTTTTTCTAGTTAGCATGTTATAGTGTAACAAAAGCACTGAGCTGCGGAAAACTATCTAGTTTTACTGAAGAATCCAAATAGATAATGTAAATTCACAGACCAAAGAAGATCAATTATCCATAAAAAAGATAAATTAATAAATTCCTTGTATTTTCAGTCTGCAGTTAGCCAGTGCACCAGTCGCGCTGCAGTAGCCGCAGATCCCCGAGTTATCCCTAGCGCTTTAGCTGCTCCTTATACAATAGGCACTCCCACGTATGCTTACGAAGGCCTGGCTTCACCTTTGGATTATGACGGACTTTATGGATGTGCTGGAAGAGGTATAGCTTACGATGGGCTTTACCCGGCCATGGCACCAGCTATGGACTTCACCCCAACTAGTGGAGGAGGTTTACCCGTTATCAGCGCTTCTGCTATTCCTCCCACTGGAATCTCTGTCATCTCTGAGAATGTGTTCGAAGGTCCTCTAGCCGTGTCCGCTGAGCTTCCTTTTGTAGGTACTGCGGCCATGGGAGGTGTGGTGCCTAGCACCGGAGCTGGAGGCATCAACCATGCCTGTGGCAATGGCATCAACGCTATGGTTAGCGAGACTACTGCTTTTGTTCCTGAAATTGTTACTGCTGCTATTGCCCCTGCGGCTGCTGCTATCACTCCTGCTGCGTTTGCTGCTCCCGGATTTGGCTACCGTGCGGGATGTGGTACCTATGCTCTGTAAACATTACTGGGTGGGGTGGTTGTACACTGTAAAGACTACAGAGGAAAGTTCCAAGAACATAAAAAAATGATGATAAACTTATGTGAATTAGAATCACAGAGCCTTTGGTCTTAGTGTTGTACGATTAATTTTTGTGTTGAGTATAAATCAGCAAGACTGCTTTTTGTTTTTATTTACATCAATTTTGTTTTTCAATATAAATTTATTTTAAATATGATTTTACAAATGCATAACTCTAATTTGGTAATTCGTGATAATATATATTTGTTTGTAATAAGTTTATGTTATGATGATATAAAAATTATAATTATTTTAAATTTATTTAGTTTTTATTTTATTAATGGTTACAAGATATTTTTAGACTTTGAGCATTTCCTAGTTATCAAAAACTTCTGAGTGCAATAAAAGACAGGCTGTTCTTTTGAAGTGAATGATTGATGAGTGATGAAGTGATTATGTCAGAGTGGAATTGATATAATTATTCTCGTACCATGCAGTATTTCAGATGTCCGTCGACCTTTTTTAACTGAAATGAAGTTAACAAGTAGACTTAAACAGGTCACTCAGTCAACACAATTTATAATTCTACGAAGGCATTTTAAAACCTCCTTTCTAAGAAAAGGCTTATGTCCAGTTGATGATGATGATTTATCACTGTCGTTAATCCCCTCCAAGAACAATTATTTGGTAAATTTTTACAATGAAGATTATGGTTCTAGGTGTATTTTTATTTTGTTGTTTATCTTTATATATATAATTCTTCTGTGAGTGTGTATGTCACTGAACTTCTCTCAAACGACTGGACCGATTTTGATGAAATTTTTTGTGTGTGTTCAAGGGGATCTGGGAATGGTTTAGATTCACAATTTTGTCCGCTGGACAATGTTTTTTTAATTAATTTTTAATTTATTAGTAGTTGTTGATTTTGGAATGTTTTACATTGGATCAGACAGACGGCGCTACCATCGCAGTGTCAAATTTGACAGGACAACGTCTGTCGGGTCCGCTAGTTAAATTATAAATTATTTTCATACATTTTAATAATTAATTTAAAAAAAAATCTATTCATTTAAAACACTTATTTTACTAATTTGTTTAATTTTAAGAACTTTACTATAAAGTAATAATGCTTTGTGTCGAAAACGGAAACTAAATTTTAAATATGATCTTATTAATACAGCGTTTTAAAGTCTCCTACAAAACCAATGAGGCAACCAAAGGCAAAAAAAAATCAATGAGGCAACTTAACCTCTTTTGAACGAGGAACAACAAACAAAATGATGCTACTATAGCATCATTTTGTTTGTTGCCCCGTTCAAAGGAGGTTAAGTTGCCTCATTGATTTTTAGAAATGAACTTAGGTGCTTCTGGAAAACCTGAAAATAAACAGAAATTACACACACACACAAGCAGACACACGCATATACAGTCGCATACGTACACGAACTCATGCACACATTTACCTGTTTATTTTCTGTTCTGAATAGCAAAATTTCTGTAAGATTCTCAGTCAATAAAATGCTTGCGACATCCCCTTCCAGATAAAGTATGTTTCAATCCGATCTAGTTCAGAAAAGCTGAAATTCAAATATTAAAAAAAAGTCTGTTTAATGCCATTTAAATTCTATCATATCTAACAGTGATTGATGTTTTTAAAGAAGCTATAAAGTTCATATAGAGTTTATTCTAAAAATACTTGTTTTTTTGCTCTCCAAATGAATTTATTCCCTAATATGAAACTTATGTTCGTGTGGTGACCTGTCCGTGTGATGACGTTTTAAGAATACGAAGTGTCGCCGGCCCTATTTATCCCGTGGGTGTCGTAAGAGCCGACTAAGGGAGTAAACTACAACAGCACTGCAAAGAGAAGAAAAACTTGAAACAGACCTTAAACCAACCTGTCTGGCCAGCGTGGTATAGTAGGTTCTAAGGATAGGCCTAATGTCCAGCAGTGGACTATTACAGGCTGTTGGTGGGTGGTGCTGATGAAACGTAAAACTTTAACACTATTATCATTTTAGATTATGTTAGAGAGAAAAAATATATTTAGGAGTTTTTTATTATTTTAAAGTTATATGAATTTAGGCTTTTTAAGTTAAGGTGGGGCTGTAAGTCATTCAATAACAAATTTTAGTCCAATTAACCTCTTTCTTTTTAGTGTTTGTCTAACTTTTCTACGGGCTTACTGTTTTATTTGTATCGCAAGCACACAATCACCAACGTGCTGTGCAGCCGCCCCCAGTGGCTCCTCCTGATCAACAATACGTCTGTCCAAACTGTGGCCGAGATTGCCGCTCTCGAATCGGACTTACTAGCCATATTCGTAAGTGCCGAATATCCAAAATGGACGCCGTATAATTACTCTTTTGTAGATTGTATTAGGCCTATGACAGTTATTGGCATATGATCAGTAATAACCTGAGTATATGTTTTACTAAAGTTTGCAAGTCACAAATACATATAAAAAAATTGCCCTGACTGATTCATCAACGCAGAGCCTTCAGCAGCTGATACATTCAGCAGATGCTTCTTATGTTAGAAGCAATCGTCAAGAAAGGATTTTTTTTTAATTTACCGCCTCCTTTTTCTATGTCGTGTAGATGACCCCCTCTTGTGTGAAAACCCCTATGTCCCTTTGTGCTCCCGAAAGGGTGCGCGCGCTCCACAGCGCATCTCACCTCCGCTTCGGCCTGCTTCTGCTAGGATGACAGATGGCCCAAAATTTCACCATAAAGTGGAAATATAAGGGATGAACGGTGGTATAGTTGTTCACCAGCTAGTTGATATGATTATAAAAGAAAGATCATTAACATAAGAATACTTCCCTGAGGTACTCCTGGTCTATAATATGATCTACGGAATGTTGAAATACTCGTAAGTTATTTATTTAACTGAACTATTTCTACACATTTTCTTTGACTGAACTAACTTTATGTCCATTCCACAGAAAGTCTACTTATACCATTATTTATTGAAATTTGTTGACATCGACCGATGTTGTATGATTCATATGTATATATCTTTTAAATCCTAACTTTTTTAACCATCGTAAAGTAGTTCATATCTCTCTCTCTCTCACACACACACACACATATACACACCAAAAACATGCACATACACACACTCACACACACACGCACAAACACACGCATATACAGTCGCATACGTACACAAACTCATGCACACATTTATACATTTATTTTCTAATCATTGTTTTTTATTTCTGTGTTTAATTATGTTGTCTAATTGAAACCTCAAACGCGGGTGAGTGTCCTGGAGGCCTGAAATACAGGGTTTTCCTAGTTTAGGCTACAGTCCACCAAAAAATCTACTAAATAAAATGTAGACACTGTTACATTTAATCTGTATATATCAGTTATACACATTGTGGTGGAAATTTAAAATACTTATTATTATTATTAATACATAATTAAAGGTCTTACACACTATCGCAGTACCAACTATAACACCTTAGTTATATTCCATAACGAAGTCGATAATTTTAAGTATTATTTTAGAAATTTTCTGGTCCATATGTATTTCATTAAGTTTTTGTATGAATTCCTTTCCTACTAAGTTTTATTTGGATAAATAAATACTAGAATTTTATGAAGGGACTTACTTTACACGATGACTGTAATGTAATATATATATATTCTAACGGAATAATGACAATTATTATTTTTTGCAACGAAATTAAATAAGTAGGAACTATAGATAATTGTCTTGTGCATGACTCTTACTTTTATAAACAACATTTTGCACCCAAATACTTTTATGATGAACCATTTGCATGACACGTTAGTACACACAGGTATTATTTGGATATGCTTGTTAATTAGATGTAAGTAAAAAACTCGTTATAGTATGCACACTAAAAAATGTTTATTTTTTGAAATAGTTCTTTCATAAATCTGCTTGTTTCATCTGTGTTTTACAGACCACAACCACAACCTCTGCCGGCCCAGCCAGCACGGTAGCCTATACCGGGAGCAAGGGCAGCAGCGGGAGCGATAGCAGCGCCATAGTATTCAGGAGCAAATGCAGTGTTCTCACTGACCATAGCGTTGATGCCGTTTCCGCAAGCGTGATTGACGGCGCCCATACCAGCGGTAGGAAGGACTCCTTCCAAGCCAACAGTACCGACGAAGGGCAGTTCACCAGCTACTGCAAGAGCGCCCTCATAAACATTCTCAGAAGCTACTGAGATGCCGACGGGAGAAAGAGCAGAGGCACTGGAGACTGGCAGCAATCCACCGCTGGTAGGGGTAAAGTCCATGGCGGGGGCGATGGCAGGGTAGAGTCCATCGTAAGCCAGACCTCTGCCGGCAAGCCCAGCGAGACCATCATAAGCCAGAGGACTGGCTAAGCCATCATAAGCTAGACCTCTGCCGGCACAACCTGCGCGACCATCATAGGCAAAAGGAGCAGCCAGGCCATCGTATCCCAATCCGAAAGGAGCAGCCAAACCGGGAGCGCCGATGCATTGGCTCAATGCAGACTAAAATAAATATACAATAATTAATAGAGTATAACTAATAAAATAAGTAAAATAGTTTTAATATTGTTTAACTTGTCGTGTATTTTCTTTTGTTAAAAAGGATTCAAACTATAGTAACAGAAGGAAAATATGCCGAAAAATTAAATATGATGATGTGATGATGTGAATTAATTAGTTTAACCATTTTTTCACATAATTGAACTGCTGACTCATGTACAGTACAATCAAGAACTGTCATAAAGGTATTTTCTTTTTGGAAAATACAACTCCCACATTATGAATATCATGTGTCGCGGAGAACTTTACAAACACACTTGAAACGGACACAAAGAACACCCAGACTCAGAACAACAATTTGTGGATGACATAAAGTGGTGTCCCACTACCTTACCACTTAAATCACTACGCCATCTGTGTAGTCAATTTTATGGAGGTAGATACATTAATGAATTAATTTTAAAGTATAGAATAAATCTGGACTGAAAGGGCTTGAATCAGAACCTATTTCTATGAAATATGCAATCATCGTCAACAGCTTTTAATAGTCCACTGTTGGACATAGGCTTCTCCTTAGAAAAGAGGTTTAAAAATATGCAAACCAGGCCTATTTCTATAATATATGCATCAAGGCTTAAGTATCAGTGATAATTTATTAGTGTGCTCGAAAATAACAAAATAGATGAATTAACACACAGCTTACCTTGACGAGAAGCGCCTGAGCGCAAAGGATGAGGACAGCTTTGGCAGACATGTTGCTTGTTCAAGTGTGAGTTCTGACACAAGGATAATGTTTAGTGTCAACGCTGTCGCTTTTATACTTAAATGTGTTATCAAATTCCGAGTGCACTTTGTCAATAAATAGGTAAGTACTTGAAGGCTTTGGTAATTTTGATAAGCCTACGAAACAAACAGAAAAAAGTGGAATTTATTACTGAAACGTGTTAAAATGGCGAAATAAAGAATTTTGTCTTTGTAAATGTTGTATATAAAGAATCCGTAATGAGTTTTAACACACTGTATTCAGCTTTCCGTTGAACTGTAACAATCACCAAACATGAACACCTTCACCGTTGTAATCCTCTGCATCCAAGCTTGCTTGGTACAGGTATGTGTAACATTTGAAATTGTGAGAGCATAACCGTTTTAAAATTCAATGGAGATATATATATACATAGTTTAAGTTATTTTTGAAAAAGATGGCCAAATGTCAAAAATGTTATATTTGAGACAGAAAAATTACTGTGTGATTCCTGTTTCAGAATGTATTCGGCCAGTGCACCAGCCGCGCCGCTGTAGCCGCTGAGCCCGGACTTATCGCTCCCGGTTACGCTGCTCCTTACGGTCTTGGTGCTCCCTACGGTCTAGGTGCACCTTTCGCATACGACGGTCTGGCTGGTTTTGGAGCCCCTTTCGGATACCGCGCTGGACTTGGTGAGTTCGGTTACCCTGCTGCCGGACTTGGCCTGTACGGTGATATTGCCTACCCTGCTGCTGGTTGCGCCGCTCCTTATGGTGGTGTTGGTGAAGGAAATGTAGCTGTTGCCGGTGAGCTCCCCGTGGCTGGTACTACCGCTGTCGCTGGTCAGGTTCCCATTATGGGTGCTGTAAGCTTCGGTGGCGCTGTCCCCGCTGCTGGTTCTGTGTCCATCACTGGTAAATGTGCCTGTGGCTGCGACGCTCCTTACGGATACCTGTACTAAATAACGATATCCTTGATCAGATCAAAGTTTGACAATAAATACCATTGAAAATGCAATTAGTTTTGATTTATTTTGTTATCAAACTATCGAAAAGCTTACAATCTTTTATGCTCACATTATGTAGTAGATATCAAACTGATGATAATATAATGTTTAAACGTTGTAATGTTTTACGAGCCACCTGACGTATGAATACATTATTTTACTGCAGTTTATGGAAATGAAAGAATGATTAGTACAGCTGGCAGAATCATTGTTAATGTTATCATAATATGAGCACCTCCTGAATAATAATAACTAATAGTACACTAGTCACAATTTAAAGAAAACAAATAAAAATCGTAACTTCTACAACTAGCAGCTTTATTCAATATTGCTATCTTTATCAAAGCAACATTTTAGGGCTATAAATAATGTTTTTTTCTTTTATAAAAGACAACTCCTGCATTAGGAATATATCCTGTGTCGCGGGGAACTTTACAAACATACATGAAACGGACACAAAGAACACCCAGACTCAGAACAACAATTTGTGGATCACACTAAGTGTTGTCCCATGTAGGGATCGGACCCACAACACTCAGAGTAGTAGTAAGCGGCGAGGTAACCGCCTAAACCACTACGCCATACGTGCAGTCAGTTGCTCACTCAGTACATTATTAGGTAACATAAGTAACATAACGTAATTCGTGCAAGCAATACCTGCAAGACAAAAAGGGAAATTACACGGTATATCATCTCCGCGTCACTCTAGACTACAGACTTCGGATTAAAAGCGTTCCTCGGAAAGCGTATAGAGTATAGCGTAGGTAGGAAATTTTGTACAGAACCAGTCTCCAAGGTCATTTGCGAGATTCATTATCTCGGCTCTGGTCTCCGAACTAAGAAGAAAAACTTCACTACTTAATTATTCAAATAACATAAACTAAAAACTAAAAGATTGATCAGCCGATTCTCTAACATGTTACTTTTAAAAGATCACACTATCTCATTTAATCTAAAACAAAAATAAATAAGATGATCCTACTACACTTCTATTGCAATTTTCATAATATATTCACAATCTACTTCAGAGCAATTTAAATACTCCAAAGATGAAACTGGACTTGCAACTTGAAAAACTTATGAAAAACGTAAAAAAAACATATCGACACACTCCTGCAACGTGAAGGCCAACTCTCGTAATAAAAGTTTCGACCTCACAACTGTCTTGAAAATACCTTTTATGACAGTTGTGAGTTGAAAAGTTGATTTGGAACTTTTATTACGAGAATTGACCCACTGATGAATAAAACCATTACTACTTTTTACAACAAAATTAAAGAAAAGCTCAAGAAAATAACATACAACAAAACATCTTGACAATATAACGAAATGCATCCATTACTCATAATTTTGTAAGTCAGAAGCATCTTTGGGCATACATTTCATATCCATAATATATTTAAAAAGTAGAACCATAATATCGCAGTTACAATATGTTTAGCTTTATTACATATGTTCTTATTACAACTACTGACACGAGAATACTTTGACTACACGGATGGCGTAGTGGTTTAAGCGACTGCCATGCCGCTTCCTACCACACTGTGTTGCGGATTCCATCCCCACATGGGACGACACTTTGTATGATACACAAATTGTCGTTCTGAGTCTGGGTGTTCTTTGTGTCTGTTTCGTGTATGTTTTGTAAGGTCCTCGACACAGGATGTATTACTAGTGTGTGCGTTGTCTTAAAAAAAAAAAACGAACAATACTTCTAATTTTATACTAAGTCTTTAAGTTCTTTTAAAATGTGTCAGTGATATCAAAAGCTTATGCAACTACGACATTGACTAATAGTGACGTTATTGACATAATCATCTATGTATACATAGGTTGACATAATAATTTATGTAATGTGTAATCTACAATTATATAATATGGTAACGAAAATTCATTGTAACACATACGTCATGGAATACCTTCCAAACTAACCATAGACGATCTTGCAATCTATACTATTCTGGCGCATCGTAGAATAGTGTCGGATCTGACATTTATTGAACTTTACAGTGCATAAAAGCTATAAAGCATATAAAGCTGTATAAAGGTCACCATGACCAGCACCTCCTCTACTCGGTGTCCACTCGGAGTACCTAGCTTGGGATCCTGGAACATTGGAGTCAAACAGTCTACAAATTTTGCAGGACTTCAACTGAGGTGAAAATTTGGACCCACTGTTATCTGCAGTTACAATATTATTAAGATATTGAGCGTTGAATGAAAATTTTTAGACTGTATAACTCCAATGTTCCAGGATCCCAAGTTAGGTACTCCGAGTGGACACCGAGTAGAGGAGGTGCTGGTCGTGGTGACCTTTATACAGCTTTATAATCGTCATGACCGTAGAATAATGTTGATTTTGAAAAAAAACTAAATTTAGTTTTTAACATATTTGGATATTACATTGTCTAAATATTGTTACTACATTCAAGGAAAAATTATATGTATTTTAGATTTTCAATTATTCAGTGTTTGTTTGATAGGCGCTCAAAGTAAAATACAGCATGTGATTTTTTTAGAAAATTGTGTAATCATTAGCTGTTACTTTTCTTGCATTTTAAAACAAAGCCTGTTTGTCACTTGTACGCCAATTTTCATAATTACAAATTTACAATTAAACAAGTTATGTCAAAAAACTAACATAATTATTTGAAATGGCTGATCCGACACTATTCTAAGATACGCCATAATAGTATAGATTTCAAGATCGTCTATGGTTAGTTTGTAAGGTATTCCATGACGTATGTGTTACAAACCATTTTCTTTACAATCTATATATATAAAAGAAAGTCGTGTTAGTTACACTATTTATAACTCAAGAACGGCTTTACCGATATGGCTGAAAATTGGTGAGGAGGTAGCTTAGAGCCAGGAGACGGACATAGGATACTATTTATTCCGTATTTTTTTTTTTTTGTATCGGCGTCGATCACCAGATGACAACGGTGGAACTGTCACAACAAAAGTGAAAAGAATGGATTTCGTTGTCGACAACAGTTGGATTGTTCCATATTCGCCACTTATTTCTAAAACGTTCAAGACACATTGCAACGTTGAGTATTGGTCGGAAGACCATCTGCGTTGTTTGTTTTTGCGCCTGATAAGAAAAGAAAAAATGTCGTGTATCACAAGGTACTTAAGTGAAGAGCAACCTATGTACTGAAATGCAGAAACTATAATAAATGATTAATGTACTTAATTTTTTTTTCTAAGAAATAAATTAACTTACTAAATTCGAAAATCGGCTTATTTATGGCCTTTAAGGCGGAACAGAGTTCGCCGGGTCAGCTAGTATTATATAATTGTAGATTACACATTACATAAATAATTATGTCAACCTATGTATACATAGATGATTATGTCAATAACGTCACTATTAGTCAATGTCGTAGTTGCATAAGCTTTTGATATCACTGACACATTTTAAAAGAACTTAAAGACATATATATACTCGTATATTAGTGCAAAATTGTTCATTTTTTTTTTAAAAGACAACTCCCGCACTTCAATATATCCTGTGTCGCCGAGGACTTTACAAAACATACATGAAGCAGACACAAAGAACACCCAGACTCAGAACGACAATTTAGGAACCACAAAAAGTGTGTACAATGAAAAGAGAAATAAATACATAAATAAATAATAGAGATTTCTGAGATAGTGCTGTATACATACACTTAGTAGACTTAGTAGACTTAGTTTATATACAATTTTTTTAAGTACAAAGTACAAAGTTAAGTTTAGTACAAAGTTTAAATTGTATTATTATTAGTCAGTATGTCAGTGAAATATAAAAAAAAATCCTTGTAGTTTGCTAAATCACTTTTATTCTTTTAAATCGTTTTTACGTATGTCTGCAGGTCGCATTTAAAATTTACAGAGCACAGCCACATCCTCTGCCAGCCCATCCAGCGCGGTAGCCAAGACCGGGAGCAATGGCAGCAGCGGGAGCGATAGCAGCGCCATAGTATTCAGGAGCAAAGGCAGTGTTCTCACTGACCATAGC